CATCACGGATCTTTGAACCAACTTTATTTTTTCTTAATTCTCGGGAGTCTTTGACCCTTCGGTTCGATATGCTAAGATGTATCTTAGCACACTTCAATAATTATTTACAAAATAATTAAATTAACTTAAATTCAAATCTAATTTAATTTTAAATAACAAGTACTTAACAAATTGAAATATAAATAAAATTAAAAATGAAAAAATTAATCACAATTAACCTAATTAATTAAACCTAAATCAAACTAATCGATTAATTCTAATTCAAACCTAATTTAATTTAAACCTAAATCAAATTAACTTAATTAAATCTAATTCATAGCTAATTAAATTTAAAATAAAAAATAATTAACAATTTCTAGTATAAATAAAATTAAAAATCAACTAATTAATCAAAATTAACCTAATGAGTGAATTAAACCTAAATCAAATTAACCTAACTAATTCTAATTCAAACCTAATTAAATTTAAAATTAAATCAAATTAACCCTAATTCAAACCTAATTAAATTCAATTAATAATTAATTAAAATTTTTCAATATAAATAAAATTAAAAATCAAACAATTAACTAAAATTAACCTAATTAATTTTAATTCAAACCTAATTAAATTTAAACCTAATTAAAATTAACCCCGATTCAAAACTAATTAAATTTAACTAATAATTAATTAATAATTTTTAATATAAATAAAATTTAAAATCAATCAATTAATCAAAATTAACCTAATTAATTAATTAAACCTAAATCAAATTAACCAAATTAATTCTAATTCAAACCTAATTAAATTTAAACCTAAAAGAAATTAACCCTAATTCAAACCTAATTAAATTTAAACCTAAAAGAAATTAACCCTAATTCAAACCTAATTAAATTTAACTAACAATTAATTAACAAATTAAATTAACAATTAACAAAAAAATAAAAATTTAACAAATTAATCAACAAGTTAACAATTAAAATTATAAATTAACCAATTAAATTTAAAATTAAAATAACAATGATGAAAAATAACCACCTTTCAAGAAACAAGAGAGAGAGAGAGAACTTACTTAATTCGGACAAAGAAGAGACGGAGAGAAAGGAAGTAAAAATGGAGTGGGTGTGGATTGATGGGGAGTGGAGTTTTGCGGTGGTTTTAGTGGTGGAAGGACGAGCAATCGGGAAAGGAAAATGATATTTAATTAGGGATTTAGACCAACAATGGACAAGTTCTCGTCGCTAAATTATTGTTAAATAGATGGTTCTTGAATTCCAAAAGGTTGTCCATTTTTTTGGAATTAGCAACGAAAATAGTCCTTTGATTTAGTGATAGATCTTCTGTCACTAAAGCAAAACATTAAAAATAACAAATAATCCATCATTGATTTTTGTAGCAATCCTATCGCTAAACCTTTGTTAAAACACCTAGAAAGATTTTGGCACCATAAATAGCGATGGATTTGCATTCATCGCTGATAAACAGATCGTCAAATTGTTTCTATACTTGTCTCTAAATTCCACATACGCTATTCAAACATTATTTAACGACGGATTATAGTCCGTCGCTAAAATTCATCGCTAAATCCCGATTTTGTTGCAGTTGTAGTTCAAAAAGAAAATCTCCTGCAGATACTATGATTCAAGACCTAGAAGAATAGCTGAGAGGGCATACCGAGACCGACGCAAGGTAAAGATAAGTAACTGTTTTCCTATTATTGTGTTCTTTGCTTCTTTTGGCTTAAGTATTTCATCTATTTCTTTTAATTCACTTTTTGGAAGTGCTAGAACGTATATGTGTATTCAGCACTCAGCAGGAAGACAAAGACCATACCAAGGCAGAAAACGGTCTTTTGAAGACTGAGATCAATTGTTTAAATGAAGAATGTGTTAGGAAGAATCATATTTTATTGGATCAAGAAGAAGAGATAAGAAACTTCAGTAAAAAGTGAAGCGATTAGAAGACAACCTTGGACACACAAACTATTGTCGTGGTGGTTCTTCCAAAGCAACCTGTAATGAGCTGGTCCTTTCATTCTTTCTTTAATTCAACCAATCAATCCATATGCTCATCCATTATTTTTTGTTGTGCTTGCAGGCTTCCGTCCAAAAATATCCATCTCCAATGTGAAAATACGCATCTTCTTTGGCCGAAATAAAATAGATAACTCTATAACTTGGCTTTACAATGTCTTTTTTTCTTATAGTTTTTGGGCATTTCAATTTTTTTTTTATATATAATAACTCTATAATTTTAGCAGTTGTCAATTAGTTTTTTTAATTCTTAATCTAATATCAAATTTGACATAAATACATATATGCATCTAAAAAGTTAATTGATAAATTAAGAGCAATTATTAACAGTCATGATGACCCAATTATTCGTTAGTTTTAGGAAAAAATGAACAACAACAACATCAAAAGAGCATTCGGATGTGTGTGGACTATTTTGGTTTGTTTTGATATTTAGTAATATCGTTTTAATTTTTAGAGTGATTGTTTGGCTTGGTTGAATTTTTATTATTGCTAGTTTATTTTTTAATTATCATTTTTAATACAAGAGAAACCGTAAAGAGTAGCAAACTATATATCATTTATTCAAAAATTATCTTTCTGTTATTATATAGCATAGATAAAATAGGTGAATTTCATTTTTTTTAAAAAAAAAACTTTTTGATGTTCCTAGTCCATATGTGGCTAGTTCCGTTGTACATATCTCGCACGCAAATGAAATTTTTTCTCTCATTTTACTTTTAATTATTAATTAATTATTTAGATTTTTTTCTAAATTTTTGAGATAAATCATCTAAAATACACTTGTAATATTTAGATTATATATATAATCATGCTAGTCTCATTTGAAAATCATAAAAAAAAAAAAAAATCATCAAATAAACAATTTTTTTTAAAGAGAAGTTGATCATTTTAAAATTTAACTCCAAAATTCATACATTTAAAAAAATAAATCATATTTTTCAATAAATAAAATTTTATGAAAATAAAAATTAAAAGTTAATTGGATTCGAATTTTTATAAGAAATGGAAAATTGAAAGAATTCATTTTAAACAATAAGAGTATTAATAATATAAAATATATACATTCATTTAAAAATATTAAACAGATCATTTTTTTTCTTGTCATTTTGTGTGAAAAACTTAAAAAATAACAATCTATTTTCTATTAATGACATGTGAGGATATTAACAATAATAACCATTGCAAAAGATGATAAATATGTTACTATGTACTGCATAAATTTTAATTAGAAGAGGATGGGATAGCAGGTTTTTGTAGTTTTCGTAGAAAGTCATCCATTTGTTGACCTGTTTCATTTGTTATGCGCACTATTAAAAGAATAAAAAGATTTGAAAACGTTTAAAGGTTAAAAAAATCAAATATTTTTTAATAAGCAAAAATTACAACAATATTCAACAATTAAAATTTCAAAATGTTTAAGAAATACAAAATTTTAATTTTTTTAGAATAAAAAATGCTCAACCATTAAAATTTTTGAAGTTCGAAAATTAAAAAACTTAAATAATTTTAAAACAACTTGTATTTAAAAAAAATGTTTAAGAAATGAAAAAATTGACAGACTTTTTTGTAGTCCAAAATAATTCTAGATCTAGTTAATTATATCCTGACCTTAATTATTGGGACTTTTTCTAGTTTGAAACAAAGAACTTATTGTTGCCTTTTTTTTTTTTTTTTTTTTGGGGTGAGATTGGCAATTCTTGCCAGATGTAAATTTTTTTCCTGGAGCGGAATCTAATAACGCATCTCGTCCTTTATTGAGTCATGTGACCTAATACTCGACTGTGTAAGTTTAAGGTGGTCAACAAGCTTTATTTATTTGATGTATGTACAAAAAACTAATTGCCACATGGAAGGTTGTCTATGGTCATCGTTGGGTTATTTTTGCCATATTTTTATTTTAACAAGAGACTAAGATTTTATGTTATGAACATGTGTGAGTTTTCCTGTAAGATACATAGTTTATACTTTGACAGATTCTTATCTTAATTACATAGAGTTAATTATAAATTAATTATTGTGCTTGATTTTTCATTGGTATTCATTTGTTCGAAAAAGAGATAGCTATAAAGTTAATATATATACTTAATTTTTTTTTTCAGTGCGTGTGCCAAAAGGTTTTCTGTTAGAGAATATATATGATTTAAAAAATCGACCAATTAAATACTTTCATTAAGACCTAAGATTATTATTTTTTAACTGAGAAAGACTTAAAAAAAATTGATTATGTGTTAAATTTTCTAATCTAAGTCCTGGCCGATGGCTCTTTAATGGCCACACAGAACTATGTCTACCTATTTGTCTTATTTTATCAAGTCTTCGTCAATGATTCTTTAATCATAATTTCCCCCAAATCAATGGATTAATTGCACAGTATAGTGACAGCTCTCTCTGATTCCTAGATTCCCTCACCTCGATCTACAAGAGTTGTGAATTTTTTTTTTTTCACCTCTACAAGAGTTCAAATGTGGAATCTTCAAGTGAGAATCCCAATTTTTTACAATTTCTATTGTGCTTTCTTCTGCTTAAAACACCATCACAGACTCGCTGTACTAAGTTTTGCTATATTTATTAAAGTTGAATCAACATACAATATGCATCATGAACTTGAGTGTCAGTGTGTATATTATACTGGTAATCAAGAGACCGAATGGTAGTTCATATATCCAGGAAGCTTTTGCGCATATCTGTAAGCAGTATGTGTCCTGTACAAAGTTCATTTATAGATCTTACTCTTGATTTCTTACTTTCTCTATTACTCTTGCTTCTACAATGTGCAGGAAGGCAAATAAATATTTGAAGGTGGAGGAAATTTAAGTACGGAAATCAAATAACCAAGAGGGGTGTATTATCCACTTCATCACAGCTAGAAGATGCGGGAACTCAAAAATCTCAGAGATGAGTTGCTGGGGGTGAGAGCAACGTCAGCTGGGATGACAAGATGCAAGAAAAGAAACAAAATCTGGCCCAGTTTGTGATTTTAGAAAATGGATGCAAGATGCCGGAATTGCGACGAAGAAGGTTTTCGTTTCTGGTGATATGTCCAATGATAGGAAGTGTGATGCTCCAATTGGGAGGTACAACTCAAATTGCACAACTATAGATAGAAGTAGCTATATCCTATGTAAGTGGTAATTATGTAATTTTCAGCACAATCTTGGTCAATTTTTAATTAGATGAGTAATTATTACATAAGTTTCTTACAGAATTTACTTATTAAAAAAAATACTAAATCATTTATTTTTTCAACTCTAATTGGACAATTATTGCGAATTTCTTTCTCTTGGCTTATTATGAGTTTAGATCTAACCCACCGGCATCAATTAATTGGGTAAGCTACAATTTGTCCTCTCTGGAGTTTGGAGGTTTTTTTGGTAAACTATTTTTTCTTTAGCTGAGCTTAGATACAATTTATGTCCTTAAAGTTTGGAGATATTATGAGTTTTTAAGTTTAACTAATAGTTGAGGTTTTGAGTCATTTTAATTTAATTCCTTGAAATTTGACATATTTTGACACTTAATGCAAAAAAATCAGTCTTCCATTAAATGTTAATGATGGTAACAAATTTCTTCTACTAAATCATTTTTGATACCTTAGGTGGTGGATCCTCAGAGCATTTGTTGTTGTCACCATCGTCGTTCTTTTTTTTTTTTCTTTCTTTCTTTAATTTCTTCAAGAGAAAGAGAGTTGGGAAGATATATATTTCAAGAGTATGGTTGGCTGTCTTTTAAATGGTTGCCCATTTTTGGTTTCGTTTTCCCTTACCATCAATTTTTTTTTAATTCTCTATTTTTAAAAGTTGATTTTCAAATTTTAGAAACAAAAAAACTACAATGATAATGGTAGTTTTATTTCTAAAATCCTATTCAAGCTACATGGATGGTAATTCATAAGTAAATATCAAGTTACTTTAATTTTCTTAAAACAATATTATATATGGAAAGTTCGATTTAATTAGAATATATAAATGTAGGAGTAGTGCCTATTTCAATGGAAATCAATTAATGTTTATTTTATACGAAAATTAGAGTAGTTTGGTAATTGAGTGCCTGATGTTATTATTACTACTACATCTTAATTTTAAAGATTTGACCTCATAGTTAAAAAGATTTGTTCTCACCCTTAGACCGGGTACCCATTCCTAGTCCGGTGTGTGCAATTGGACACATCACTTGTTCTCAAAACTTGCGGCTCTCGTAACTCTAATGAATGCCGAGTACTAGTGAACTAAGAAACACCCATCAGTAAATAGTAACACAAACTTTATTACCTTTGCGACATGCCTTGGGCGCTAAAGGTGTGGTATCGAGCGGTTACGCAGCGTTTTATTTCGTCATCTCTCGAGTTCTTGCGATTGCTCCCACACATATTTCCATTTTCACACTGCAGGCTCATATTTTCTTTTCTTTGACGATTGCTTAGTGATCATCACTCTCAGGTTTCAGCACACCGGCCGGTCATTACCTCCTCAGACACCGCCCATTCCTGGGACAGACCGACTCATCACCAGCTCAGGTAGCGTATATGAAAAGAAAAACAAAATCTGTGACTGTTTGATCATCCCTAATTTTACTTGAACATATCTATTCTTCCTCGAAATATCTATTTTATGATTTTAAACTTTTCTTAAGTTGATCTCTAATTTCGGTTTCAATTTCGGCAGATCGTATCGAAACAGTGCGCCCGATGTCTAACTCAAGGTTCTCCGAAGCTACGGGTAAGGTTTTTTTTCCTTAATCTTATCTTGAGAGAAAAAAGGAAAAGAAAGGGAAATGATTGGCGTACGTGCTCGATCAATCCCTATCGCCAGCTCTTTCTTTGTTTCTATGTTTTTTTTTTTTGCATACTTTTTATGCATGTTGTTCAGAACAAAATCTCTCTCTCTCTCTGCACGCAGAATGCTGTTATATATGAGATCTCGTCATTTATAACTCTCTTTTTAGATTGATGCAAGGTTAGCTGCCAGATTAATCATGATTTTCTAGCACTCAATATTATCAATTATTACCATTTTACGGTTTCCATTTTTTTTAACAGCCTAAAATGAACAATTAGCTATACAAATCCCCCATCCATCTGGCACAGCGTATCATTAATTTGATGGACTTTTTGAAACATAGGATTTCATTTATTTTTTATTTTTAATATTGTCCCAAGCTAACCAGAAGCTTTAACTAGTTTTTGTTTTAATTCACAACTTTTCAGTGTAAAGCTTCTAGTTAGCCTGTGATAATATATCTGTTTCAGAAATTTGATCATCCACATACTTTAGCCTAAAAATAGCTTCTAGGCTTGTTTTTTGTTTTTTATTTAAGCACCAGATAACATGGGGGAATGATATCCAAGGATCTAAAACTTCTCAATATTGAGATGGATTTGTGTATGGTAGAATTAAATGGCGCAAACCTCAACTAGCTAGTTTGGGGGTTGAGTCTTAGTTTTGTTGTTGTGCTGTTGTTCTTGTTCTTGAAGCAAATTGTTCGAATCTCTTTCAGGGTTTAATTTGTTCTAATTTCAGGAAAATGCTCCAACGAAATTGGTGATCATGGTGATGCTCAGAACCATGGATTGGTCAGCAATCAAATACTCGACCTGCACCAATCGAATCAGTCAGTAGGTACGGCCTTTGATCACTCTTGACATCATATATATATATATATATATATATATATATGCACACAATCTTGAGAGGAAAACTCCATTAGGATCCACCTTCACCCTCCAAGGAGAGGGCGTGTTGCCCTGCAATTTAGGAGCCGCGTCACCCTCCAAGGAGATGCTGTAAGTCAGCAAAGGCGGCTCTCATGAATGCCGAGTACCAGTGAACTAAGAAACATCCATTAGTAAATGGTAACACTAACTTTATTACCTTCGCTACATGTACTAGAAAGGTGTGTGGTGTCGAGCGGTTATCCAGCGTTTTATTTCGCGATCTCCCGAGTTCTTCCGATTAACTCCGGCCCACTCATCTTTTCATTTTATATTTCGTCTTTAATTAGGTTATGCGGGATCATATTTCTGTTCTTTGACGATTGCTTAGTGATCATCACTCTCAGGTTTCAGCACACCAGCCGGTCATTATCTCATCAGCCACCGCCCATTTCCGGGACCGACCGACCCATCACCAGCTCAGGTAGTGTATATGAAAAGAAAAACAAAATTTGTGACTGTTAGATCATCAAGCTTAGTTCCTATTTTTACTTGAACATATCTATTCTTCCTCGAAATATTGCATCGTTTTAAACTTTTCTTATGTTGATCTCAAATTTCGGCAGATCGTATCGAAACAGTCCGTCCGATGTCTAACTCAAGGTTCGCCGATGCTAAGGGTAAGTTTTATTTTCCTTAATCTTCTCTTGAGAGAAAAAGAGAAAAGGAAAGGGGAATGATTGGCGTACGTGCTCGATCAACCTCTATCGCCGGCTCTTTCTTTGTTTCTATGTTCTTTTTTTTTTTTTTTTGGCATGCTTTTTATGCATGTTTTTCAGAACAAACTCTCTCTCTCTCTCTCTCTCTCTCTCTCTGCACGCAGAATGCTGTTATATATGCGATCTCTTCATTTATAACTCTTTTGTTAGATTGATGCAAGGTTAGCTGCCAGATTAATTATGATTTTCTAGCACTCAATATTATCAACTATTACCATTTTAGGGTTTCCATTTTTTCAACAGCCTAAAATGAACAATTAGCTATACAAATCCCCCATACATCTGGCACAGCGTATCATTAATTTTATGAACTTTTTTGAAACATAGGATTTCATTTTTTTTTTTTTTTTTTTAATATCAAGTGAAAAGCCTTGTTGAGCAGATCAATTCTGGATGGCCTTTTACAAATATATACAAGCACTGGAAAGCTGCTTGTGTTTTGATGGCTTACAGCACTGTGATAATACATATTAGCTTATCAGTATCCAAAATAATAAAAACCTTCTCGCCCAAGGCTACATGTGTCTTGATTTTGATTACATCTTCAAATCTGAAAAAGATTATCGCAAGCTAACCAGAAGCTTTAACTAGGTTTTTGTTTTAATTCACAACTTTTCCGTATAAAGCTTCTATGATAATATATCTGTTTCAGAAATTTGATCACCCACAAACTTTTGCCTAAAAAATAGCTTCTAGGCTTGTTTTTTGTTTTTTATTTAAGCACCTGATAACATGGGCGAATGATATCCAAGGATCTAAAACTTCTCAATATTGAGATGGATTTGTGTATGGTAGAATTAAATGGCGCAAACCTCAACTAGCTAGTTTGGGGGTTGAGTCTTAGTTTTGTTGTTGTGCTGTTGTTCTTGTTCTTGAAGCAAATTGTTCGAATCTCTTTCAGGGTTTAATTTGTTCTAATTTCAGGAAAATGCTCCAACGAAATTGGTGATCATGGTGATGCTCAGAACCATGGATTGGTCAGCAATCAAATACTCGACCTGCACCAATCGAATCAGTCAGTAGGTACGGCCTTTGATCACTCTTGACATCATATATATATATATATATATATATATATATATATGCACACAATCTTGAGAGGAAAACTCCATTAGGATCCACCTTCACCCTCCAAGGAGAGGGCGTGTTGCCCTGCAATTTAGGAGCCGCGTCACCCAGGGCTTTTCATGAGTCTCATGTTTCAGTTCTGGGATTGGAACATGAACCACAACAGAAGCAGCAAGGTGGGCTAGAAAAGAGTCCAATGTCTTTTGTGCGGCCTCTTGAGTTACAAGGCCTCGTGATTGTATATTATATATAGGCTTGTTCGTTTATTTCTGTACTTCACACATGCATTATTCAACTATTAAATAATTTTTTTTTTAATAATTAATCTCTAGTAGATTATTTTAAATTATATACAAGTAAATATTTTTAGCTTTCATTAAATTTCTTTTTTTAAGACCCACGAATCAAATGATATTCTTGTTCCAATTTTTGCCTCTTCTTCCTCTTAATCAAACTTTTTCTTGCCATCATGTTTTACTTCCTATCCCCTTGATACAAGTCCAATCCTAAATATAGAAATATATAAAATAATTTTTTTATATATAAAAAAATTATTTTCTCACATATACATTACATAAAAAAGTAAACCAAATTTGTCTGATGTAGAGGCAACAAAAAAAATACCGCATAAGCGAAGGTATAACCTACTGTTTCTTTCCCTTTTTCTCTTTGTTTTTTTCAGTTATTTTTGTAAACAAGAGTGACGGTATTCTGACAGAGAGTAGACACAGGTAATAACTAAGAGAATGCTAAAGATTCGAGTCATAGAATTTTCAAATACTAACGTTGTATTAATAGTATAATAGTCGATCAAATTTTTTTAAGGTGTTCCTATTTTCATATATAGTTATGAATTTATTCTTCATGATTATGAACACAGCTCAAAAAACATTTTCACCTTGGAAAATGCATGCAGATGCTGGCATTAACGTGGAGAACACCTCATTGGTCATGATTTCAAAAACATCTAAACTACCAAGGAGTCCTCAACCTTCAAACACAAATTTGAGGAAGAGAAAGGCTGGCATGAAAGACACTGCAAAATTTAATAAGGTGATGAATTTACTTACATGTACTTCTCTTTGTAATTGATATGTATTTGACCACTTTTCACAATTATTTATCGTGCAGAAAGAGATTGTTGATGGATTCCAACGTCTGAAGAATGAACACACCTCCTTGGAGGATGAAATCGTCTTCTTAAAGAGCCAATGCGCTTCGTTGAAAAAGTCTGTCAAGCGTCAAAAGAAAACTTCGGTCTACTTGAAAGACAAGAACAATGAACTGACTGACAAGGTTACAGACCTTTCCATGCATGCACTGGTAAGTATTTCCTTCTCTGTTCTCCGCGAGCTTTATTCATCAAACCACTAATATGCACCCGTTAATTGGCATCATTTTATTTGTCTAAACTTAGAATATTCCAACTCACAATAAACCGATAGGATATGATGGAATCTACCATGCATGCTCTTGCTAAAAAAATTCCTTCCTATCCTACCACCCTATAAGTACATAGCACCTTTATTGCTAACCACTATATTCTATCAATGAATTTAGAACTTCTCCTTCTCCTTTTTACATTTTTTTTTCTGTCATGTTATTTGCTCCAAAACAAGCAATTTGGATTGGTCCAACATTGAAGCCTATAGAAGTTTCCATAGTTAAAACTGATTTTCTCATAAAGATAATGAGCTTATTTTCTCAAAAAAAAAAAAAAAAAGATAATGGGCTTATAATCTGATTCCACTTGCAAAACCCAAAGGCCTTCGCCCCCAAGAGGACTTGTTGAACCCAGGTTTACACTATTTATTTATTTATTTTTGCAGACGTCTGTGTCGGATCGCGAGATCCAGCTTGGAGAAAGAATTGTGCAACTGGAGGCAAGCAATGAACAACTGCAGGCAAGAAATGCTCAACTGGAGAATATGCAACTGATATGATCAATGAAAATGACCTGAGAGTAACAAAGGTACATATGCCTATTTGATGCCATTTTTGAATAATAAGATACAAATTACTAATCTAGGTCCATGCATGAACTACAGAAATACCAGCTTGCTCAGCTAAGTTTTCACAGCACTTTTATTACTCTTTCTTCAAAGCCATCTTGAAAATTCAAACGTGTTTGTTCATTTGTATAGCATACGTATGTAAGTATATATATATATATGTGTGTGTGTGTGTGATTATCTCAATGAATGGTACCAGCTTGCTCAGCTAAGTTTTCACAGTACTTTTATTACTCTTTCTTCAAAGCCATCTTGAAAATTCAAACGTGTTTGTTCATATGTATAGCATACGTATGCAAGTAGATATATATATATGTATATATATGTGTGTGTGTGATTATCTCGATGAATGGTATTTCTGATCTAGTTTTTGCTGACTAAACTAGATTCACCTTTCTAATTAAAATTAGATATCAAAGGCAAGATTAAAATGTGTTTGGAGTGGATGAAAAGAAGGGAGAAGTGAAGAGTTATAGTGAGAGATAAAGTGAGAATTCTCCGTTGTAGAAATGAGGAAAATGAGGGTAAAGTTTTACCTGGATTTGGCTTTAAATTATTCATATATAGTTTTCTAACATTTTTTTTTCTTTTTTCTGTTGTTCTAGTTTTGGATTTAAGAAGTAAAGCACCCAGCTAGCTATGTGTTAAAAAAAATGAAGTAAATTTGTTACAATCATCTTTCACATTTTCCAGTAATTTTCTTTTCAAGTTCTTGCCGTTTAAAAAAATTAATTTATTGTTGCATGTAATCAGTATATGTAGGATATATTGTGTTATTAACCGAATAGAGCGAGGATTCGCGACTAATAAATTTGACAAAAACCAACGATAATGAACACATAGATTTTATGTGAAAAACCCTTAAACAAATTAAAGAAAAAAACCACGGACAAGATAGAAGAACTTCACTATGAGAAATAATAGAAGTTAGAACCTCTCTTTATACTACAAGGAGAAAACAATAAATTTCTCTCTTGAAATAGAAAAAACACTCTATATTTTTCTAGGAACTAATCTATCTTTCTCTATTTTTTTTTCCTCACTCTTTTTGTTTTTTTGGGATGGTTTTGAACCAAGGTAGGGAGGCATATTTATAGACCTCCCCCTTGCTTGCACCGCCTCAATTGTTGTTATAGCTTGCATGCATGCAAGCTGTGATTCGTGGATAAATTGTCTACGAAAAGGCTTTTATTTCAACGAGGTTATAAGTTGTTTTCTTCCCTTTTTTTTTTTTTTTCAGAAATAGGATATAAGTTGTTTCTTTGTACGAAAACTCAACTCTTGAAGACAATTTATTGTATTATAACCTAGCTATCTTTATATTTTATACATTAAACATTTGTCAATCTTTTATTGGAAGGCTCGAGTGGTGCATTAATTTCTATCGAAGTTGAGAATCAAATGAGGATAATATATGATTAGTTTACTTGTTTTGTTTGCTGAATATCTCTCTTGTAATTTTTATCTATTTGATTTTGAAGATTAACTCGGGATGTAGTTTAGATTTGGTCTTAATAAAGTTTGTATGTGTCTTAAGCGAGAAACAATCTATTTTGCTTCAAAAAATGCACTAATATTGAGTTTTTATTTGAAAATTGCAGCTTTGTCGGTGATTTATTGAGTCATGTTTACTGATGAGAGGACAAAATAAAGAAGTGATTGATTTGAACCCAAAGGTGCATGGTTGCTTTTTTGGTTCAAGTTAATATGTGTAGAATTTTACGTGTCGAACTTATGTGAGTTTAAGATTTGATATGTGGTACTTTCTCTAAAGTGGTTCATCCGTGGTTACCTCATTCCTTTTGCATCGACAATTCGAAAGTTTGTTTTGCATCTTTTAATTGGGATTTTGATCAGTTGTATGGTATTTGTTTAAATTATAAGGCTGCATCGATAATTCGAAAGTTTGTATGTGTCTCAAGCGAGAAACAATCTATTTTGCTTCAAAAAATGCACTAATATTGAGTTTTTATTTGAAAATTGCAGCTTTGCTTGGTGATTTCTTGAGTCATGTTTATTGATGAGAGGACAAAATAAAGAAGTGATTGATTTGAACCCAAAGGTGCATGGTTGCTTTTTTGGTTCAAGTTAACATGTGTAGAATTTTCACGTGTCGAACTTATGTGAGTTTAAGATTTGATATGTGGTACTTTCTCTAAAGAGGTTCATCCGTGGTTACCTCATTCTTTTTGCATCGACAATTCGAAAGCTTGTTTTGCATCTTTAATTGGGATTTTGATCAGTTGTATGGTATTTGTTTAAATTATAAGGTCGCTCCGAGTAACACACACACACATACACACAAACACACACACACACACACACACACACACACATATATATATATATATATATGTTTATGAGTGTGCGCGCATGCGTGTATGCAACACATACATTAATTAATTAATTAACTAACAAAAGTACTAAAATAGATGGAGAGTTTACTATTTATCTTTACTCAAGAAACTGTGGATTGTGACTCATATTTATTGTATTGTTGTCCGGAGCTACTTCGGTCGTTTTTTTCGTGTGACGTGCCACCGCTCGGCGTGTTGTTCTTCCCTTTTTTTAATTACATATATTAAACCACCTGTTTCTTTCTTTTGTTTTTCATTGTTGGTCTTCTTTTCCGCAAGCAAGCAATTTGTGCCACTAAATTTGCCCTTTTTTTCTTCTTCTTCTCTCTTTTTTTTTTTTTATCCTTGTGTTTTTGCCTTATTTTCTTTTATGCCATTTATTGTTGTGTTGTTTTACCTGTTTAGCCCTTTGTTTCTTTCCTTTCATTTTTCCCCTTTTTCGTAACTTTTTCTTTTTATCCTAGAGCATTTAATGCTCAATCATGGTGCTACTTGTAAGGATTTTTTTGCTTGCAAATGATTGATGTATGTTATTTTTAATTCTTTAACCAAATTGTCTATTTTTAATATTAAATGAACTATTCGTATCCTTGTTTTTTTTTTTTTAATAATAATAAAAGTGCTTTAGACTTGGTATTAATATATTTGGAGTAAAATATAACAAAGGTTTACGCTCTATTAATTGATTAAAGTATGAATGATTTTTTAAAAAATTATTCAATACGTATAGTTTTTAAATAAAATTTGAAGTCAAATTAAATTCTTTTGTTGAATAGGATTAGATTTCTATCCAATTTGGATTAATTAAAGATCTCATGCTTAGTATATTACGCCCTAGCTAATTTAATAGAATGATATGATTTATATTGAATAATTTATTTAAAGACTATTTGCACATTAGCCAATAGTAAGAGGCTTAGCACATTTTACCTTCAAAAATTGGATGGAAATCTAAGGTCACTTCACAAAAAAACTAATTTTCACCTATAATTTTGGCCAATTACTATTTACACGGAATAATTTATTCATGGATTTTTTATGCTTTGACCAATAGCATAAAGAGCGGTGGTAGATTTTATTCATATCATTAATATAATGTATATATTAAGTGGTTTGTTAGTAATAAATTATTTTGCTTGGTATTTATAATTAATATATTTTTTAATTAACATATTTATTTTTGGGTATAACTATTTATCCCAAAAAAGGTCATATCACGAAATTAGATATTGTAACTTTTAGGGGTACATAGTAATTTTATTAATTTTTGCATGATTTCTCAAATATTACCCAAACACAATAAAGATATAATTCTATAAATTTTTTATTTTCAAATTTCAACCAATCAAAAAAATTACATTTTAAATAATCACATACTAAAATTAAACAAACACTAAAAGATTTGGACTATTTAGACATTATACTATTCACACACACAAAATATTGTTCATTTACTTCTCACTTTGAATCATGTGCACTTATGCGGTGGTATTTTCTTATTTTTTTGGTTGTTTTGAGGCACTTATTGTAACATCCGTGACTAGAAACCCTTGTGGTATATGGATATTTTGGTTAATTAATAAAAGGTGTAATTATTTAATGAGTGAGTAAGTTTGAAGTTTAATTAAGGAAAAAAAAACATAAGTAAAATTTATGAAATAGGTTTATGGAATGAGAGAAGCTTGAATTAGATAATGGTACCCTTAGTTGAAATGGTTATGCATTGTCCTTATATGGGGGTGCAATTACGAAATATAAGGGTATAAACGTAAAAATTAAGTGCAAGGTCCTTATATGAATGATTATGAAACATTAGGGACTTAAATTAACTTTAGGATGGCTTAGATGAGAGACAAATTGATGAAAAATGTGAAGTTATGGACTGAAATTATATGGTTAAATTATAAGGATTGAAAGTTAGAGGACTAAGGTATAAAGTATCTATAATGTGAGGGACCCTTTAGTTCAATTTAAGGGATAAAAATAGTTAGAAAATCTGGATTTCAAAATTTTTAAAGAGAGGAAAATAGGGAGAGAGAAAAGAGAGAGAAAATGGAGAAGGGGAGAGGAAAAACCCTAGGTCAAAAGAGACTCCACCCATCCAAAATCCACCTCTCAATCACTCTAATTAGTATATAAACACCTTAAATTAGCCTCCAAACCATCTTTTAAGGATCATGCAAGGAGAAGGGAAGAATTTCTCTACTCTAACCGAATTTTCTTAGAAGGAAAAAGAAGGAAAGACCCAAAGAGAAAAAGAGAGAAGGCCAAATTCTAAGTGAGATAAATATAATTCCTCACCTACATCACAAGAATTTATATTTTGATGTGTGATTGAGAATTAATTTAAGGTTTACTTAATTTAAGATATCAATGAACATGATATTGAGGAATGATACGTGATGAGTGAATTGGGATGATTGATATATCATATATGTTTATGATGTTAGAATTATACTATTTGAATGGTGGAACTGAATGAAGCTTATGATTGGATGATATTCTTATTCTATAAACAAGGTGGTTATAAGAACTTCAAGGCATGAATAGATTTAGATTATGTAGTTTAATGCT